TAGGAAGATAGTGGATTTTGTATTTGGGATCTTACTTTGTAAGTCACTCACCATGAGCGAGATGGACAGCAATATAAATTTCTTAAACAAATAAACAAGTTCTCCGTACTGAAGTCATGCAGAAGTAATCTTTCTTTTCAAATGAATATGGTAAAATCATTAAAAACTGTTGCATCTATATAATGATAATACTATTTCTTCATCGCAGTGACAGAACTAGTATGATGATCAGTCTTTAGAGCATCTGTACTGTAGATCAACATATCCCTAGTATCAGACATGCTATTCAAATCTACTTTGAAAAAGTTAAGTTTAAGTTTATTTACCGTATTTTCCGGCGTATAAGACAACTTTCTAAACCCTGAAAATCTTCTCAAAAGTCAGGGGTTGTCTTATACGCCCAGTCGTCTTATACGCCGGAAAATACGGGTATTCTATTTTATTCCTTTACACATGTGGTTTGGCATATTACTCATCAAGCTTTCTCTCCCCCCCCCTCTCTTGCTCAAACTCTATATTTTAACTGGAAAAGTTGGGGGTCGTCTTATACGCCCAGTCGTCTTATACGTCGGAAAATATGGTACCTAAATGCTTACCTAGCAAGGTATGATTTCAATAACCTATATTTTTATTTCTGTATTTGCATATATCTAATAAAATATAGAAACATGTTTTCAATGTGGCTAAATTAATGCCAACTTGGTAAACAGAATTTGTCTTTATACTTTCTGGAGAGACTATCTATATCAGTGGTTCTCAACCTGTGGGTCGGGACCCCATTGGGGTCGATCGGCCATTTCACGGGGGTCGCCAAGCAAGGCTGTCCGCCATTTTTTTTGCCCACCATTTTTTTCCCTTTCCTGGCGGGTGCCTTATCTCCCTTGGGCTGGGCCAGCTGGTGGTCGGCCTGCTCCGTCTCTGCCGCTTGCCAGCTACACCTCGGCCGGCGCAGGGGACGGAACCACGCATGCGCGGCGCTCCCGGGCAGGGAAAGTCCTCGACTTACGACCGGTTGGGTAGTCCTCGACTTACGACCGGTTTAGTCCTCGACTTACGACCGGTTTAGTCCTCGACTTACAACCGGTTTAGTCCTCGACTTACAACCGGTTGGGGTCGCGGCATTAAAAAGGTTGAGAACCACTGATCTATATAAACTGGGCAGCTGCTTTCTACTCTACATACTCCTAGCAATAAACTTGGAACTCACAACATAACTTATAATATCTTACAACTTTTCTATTCAGATCATCATATTTGCTCCATGGCAATGGACCTAGGTATTTGCAAGACCGCCTCCTACC